AATGTACCCTTAAAATTGTATAGTTGAAAAGTTTTTTTAAACTTACTCCCAGGGCTGTTTCTATCGAAGTTGATATTTAGCCGCACCATGTTAGTGTTTCGTAACATCTCATTTTTAGGAGGTGGGTCGTTAGCCCAACGCTCAACCCTCAACCCACAACCCCCAACCTGAAGGACCTTTTTGCTGTGAGGTGACAGCACTGACCAATGCACCACCATGCCACAACTTTTTTAAACTAGTTTCCAAAAAATATGAGAATAACTTATTTTATTCAGTAAATTCACACTTTTATTTAGCTTAATAAGAGCTTGTTATAGTTTTGTATTGACCCAACATTTGTTATAGTATTTTATTTAATTTAATTATAGTTATACAGTATTCACGATACGTTATTTTTATTTTCCGTATTATAATTGACCAAACTTAATATCTAAAAGACATTTTTTTCTAAATAATTATTAAAATTTATATAAAAAAAGCTGTTTCTTACTGACTCTAAACAATTCTCTTTAATTAATGTTCATAATATTTTTGTTTTAACTTTACTGTTCTACATTATTATATTTCTCATATTGTCTCAAACAAAAACAAATCATATTAAATCTGCTTTGCAGTTTGCATATTAACTCTCGTGCCAGTGGTGAAAATCCACCACAGCTTCAGTGGAAACATTCTCTGCTTCTTTTCAGAGAAGGGCTTGACTTTTAACCTTAACCAGGTTAATAATCCACCCTGGCAGTGTGGACACAGGATGCTGGAAATGCTTAGGCACACATGCAGCACTGTTTGCCCTGATTATTCACTCATTTCCAAATAGCTAGGGAATCATAAAGCACCTAAAATTGGCTGTAAACTGCAGGCGATGTGTGTTTTGCTTTAGCCGGGGATTTTGATTTATGGCATAATTTATGTCTTAGGTCATTTAACTTCAACTGACTACACATAATACTTTGATTTCTAATTATTCTATGCGCTATTTAAAGTTTTTACCTGTGCATTATTCAGTTTAGGGACAAATTGTGAATATTTAACACTTTTCTTTTATATTAGTCTATGTGCTGGTTCGCTGTGCAACAGAGTTTTAAAAATGTTGGAATAAGGTAAAGAAAGCTATTGTGTAGGAGTGTATTCATTCTGTCAGTCATCACTTTCCATATGTTTGTGTTGGAAACATCTCAGTGTTTCTGTTTAATAACAACTGATTTAGTGTAAATCAACTACCGACTGGATGAGAGTCATGCAAATCATTGTTTACAGTCAGTGAGTATGTGAGGAATATGACCCAAGGAAAAAAAACAACAACTGTAAACCATTTAAGATAAACTTCATCCTGCATCTGACAAGCTCACCAACATAATTTATTATTATTATTATTTTTTGCAAGACTAATATTTAAAGAGGACAGAGCGGGATTTGACTGTCAATGACTGTGAATAGTTTTATTATTTAATTATTTTTTATTATTATTTCATTTCATCATTATTGCATTTTTCCTATTTGTATAATATTTTTATGTATTTTCTAAAAATATCAGTTACATCTGTGAGGTATGTTTATTTCTATTTTATTTTACTTCCAGTAATATTATGTTATCTTTTATTTTATTTTCCAGCAATAACATTATATTTATAAAATATTTGAATACATTTTTATTCTGTTTACAATAACCACATGTAATAGTTCTAAATTGCTAATACTGTTTTTTAAATAATCAGAACATTATTATTATTATTATTATTGTTGTTGTTGTTGTTGTTGTTGTTGTTATAGAATTATTTATATTTGACAATATGTTCCAATGTTTTTGTCCTTCTGATGTTCACAGAGCATAAACGTGCATTTTCTGTCTTCAGGGTTGAAATACCAAAAAGTGCAAAATCATCAGAAAAACAGAGGCTGTCTAAAATTTCACTACTGTCTGCATACAGTTGTGTCTAGAGCAGCAAACCACAGTTCCTCTCAGCTTCTGCTGTGCACTCACTTTACAACTCATTCAGCAGCAGTGCTTATTAATATTCATCAGCCATTCATTGCTTTCACATGTCAGTCATAATAAACAGAAATGCTCGAAAGCCTTGTCTTCTATCCCTGTATTGAAATAGATTAAGTTGCATTGTGCAGCTTCACTCTCTTCTGTCACTTGTTATTAAGCTGAATTATGATAAAAGAAATGGCCTTCCTCTTATGGAAAACAGACAGTCAGAAATATCAACAAACAGTTAATAATCATCTAACCGCATTTGATGAAACATTTTAGGTGTATTTCATTCAGCAAATTATAACTCTACACTCTTTGACCAGCATAAATGTAAATTAAGGTCAGTCTTTGTTTACTGTTGTTTTTGTATTGGATTTTATATGCTAGGCCTATATGCATTTTTGTAATTTAATATTTTTATTGAGAATTTAACAATGCATAAAAAACATTTGGAACATTTTACACATCACCACATTGCCACATCTGAAAACCTTGTCCTGTTTTATATTCATTACAAGCTTGTTTTTTTTTTTTTTTTTTGGCAAAATATAAGATCACGTGAGCTGATGTAATATGAGCTATAAAGTATATCGTTCATAGAATAAATAATGATTTTATCAAGCTAGTCAACATCTTATGAAAATGGTTGCTTTCTTGCCATTCGGTAATGATGCTCTGCCATCTTGTGGTAGAAAGAGAACTCAAACTTCGAGGTCTCTGTACAGTAGCAGACAGTTATTCTTATTCTGGTTTTAATCAGTAGGTTACTTTAACTTTCCGTTGACATTTCGTTCTTTTGTTAACATTTTAACACAATCTATCACGGAAGTAAGCTGTTGTCGACTTTCAATACTATTCACAGGCCACTCTAGAAAAATAAAAGTGAAGTAAACGGCAAAAACTATTTGTGCTACGACCCGTAGTTTATGATTGTGATAAGACTATGTTTATAAGATAAAATACCTTAAGCTATGAAATATTAGCAGTAAACCACACTACTAAAAAGGAAAGCTTTTAGCTTATATTTGTGGTGCAGTAAAAGTAAAACTCAATGTCATACAAACATTTTTCTCAATTCCTAATTGTGAAATGGCATTCATGTTTGTTATTCTTCGTAAATAAGCAAGCAGTATACAGTATATTATTTACTAACCATACGTTTATACAAAACTAACAGTTTATAAGCACATATGTATACAATTATTGGACAATTAAAGGGAAAGTTTAGAAAATAAAAATAACTTTACTTGTTCAAAACCAGTTTGTGTTGTTTTGTTCAATGTGAATAAAGGAGATATTTTGAAGAATGTTGGAAACCTGTAGCCACGGATTCCATAGGAAAAACAAAATACTTGGAAGTCAATGGTTACAGGTTTTCAACATTCTTTAAAATATATTGTTTTGTGTTAAAACAAATCCCAAAGGGTTTGGAACAAGTCAAAGGTGAGTCAATGATGGCAGAAATGTCATTTTTTGGTGATCTATCCCCTTAAGGCTCCTGCTGCTACAGCTCCTGGCAAGAAATGCTTGTGGATGATGGAGAGGGGGAACTCAATATACAAACCAGAACTCAACACAATCTCAAACTCAATACAAGCCAGTGCAGAGAGAATAAAAAGAGTAGTCAACATTGAGCACATTGTGTCTGCTACAGGCCTGAGTCTGTGACCCCACCTGTGCATGTTGGGTCCCAATAAAAAGGAAGGGTCATCAATCTTAAGTATCTGGCATGGCATCTGCAAAAAAGCTGCTATCGTTTTAGGGGAAACTGTGCCAACTTTGCCCTCAAAATAAAAACCCATGCTAACCAAGTCTCCAAAATGAGTTCTTGCACTTGAGCCAAAAGTTGCAAGGTGCAAAACATAAAAAAATTGACAAAACTCATTTAATTGCAAAAGAACTAAATAAAAACAGTGATTACTTGTCTAAAGCCATTAAAATTCAGCTAAGCAACCTTCAATACCAATCCAGCTCAATTCATTTTAAGTTTGTTAATAACTTAAATATACAGTCATAAGTCAGAATAGTCTAGATATTTTTCAAGACACTTCAATACAGCTTAAAGTGACATTTAAAGGCTTAATTGGGTTAACTTGGCAGTTTAGGGTAATTAGGCAAGTTATTGTATAACAATGGTTTTTCCGTAGACTATCAAAAAATATACAGCTTAAAGGAGCTAATAATTTTGTTCCTAAAATGGTTTTAAAAATGTAAAAAACTGCTTTTACTCTAGCCGTAATAAAAAAAGACTTTCTCCAGAAGAAAAAACATTATCATACTGTGAAAATGTCCTTGCTCTGTTAAACATAAACATTTGGAAAATATTTTTAAAAGAAAAAAAAATTCAAAGGGGGGCTAATAATTCTGACTTCAACTGTATATATAGAAATGTGCATATTTCTTTTCACCCTCTTTTTAATAAACATTTGTAATGGATCTGACTTTACATAAAATACAAGTCAAGTTGAGCTTTATTGTCATTCTGCAGCGTGTGGACATACATGTTGTGTCTTGCAGGATAACAGTGCTACATAAACTAATCATATACAAATACAGCACTGGACAAGCTATTTAAAAAAAAAAACTATGCATAAGTAACATATGCTATAAGTTACATGAAGCACATCTCTGTTTAACCTCTGTCATTTACATCATTCCGAACTAGTTCTGTAAAAATACTCCTATGTCATCAAAGAAAGTCTTCTCATGCAGGAGATCCATTCATGTGTTTTTGTTAGTGAAGACCCAGTGTTCTGAAGTATAGACGGAGCTACAACAGCAAGCAAAACACATACAGTCACAGCTGAAAAGGTTGCAAGCAATCAAGTCGTTCATCACCCCACTACCTTTACAGCTTGCTTTAAACTTCATTATTGCTTATATAAACCTGCACAGTGAGCTTTCCAGTCTTTATACTATAGTTCATCTTTAAAGGAAATGCTACATTTAATTGATATTGAATGAACAGAGGTAAAACTCTCGGTGGCGCTGTTTCTCTGCGTAGGTGTTTTACAGACTCGCGTGATGGACGCCGATGCTTTTACATCAACAGAGGATCTGCTGCTTTCTGCAGCTGTTGGACTGTGACACTGGGCAGAGAAGAGCACTTCAGTCTCCTACAGATTGTTATGGAATATGACAGGTCATAGAAACACGTGTGGATTCACAAAGACGTCTGAAACACGGAGCCCCGGGGTGAGTAAAGTTATAATGCTTCCTCGTACTTTAATTGCCATAAAGTGTCAAAATGTGCAACAGGTGGTTAAAAGTACAGCTGATATGTATTTTAATATTTTAATAATATTGCTATTTTCATTGTTGTTATTGATTTCATGTATTTTATAAGATTTATAAGATTTTCGGTTTGTTATTGCTAAATTACAATAAGTAGCCTAGAATTAAAAGTGAGATGCCAAATTAGGCGATTTACATTTATTTTATTTAGTCATACCAGTTTATTTGTTTATCAATCATATGGTATTTATTTGAAAATAATCACCCTCATAGTTCTATCATTCAAATAATAATAATTTTTTGTTCATAAATTCCACATAATAAATGTAAAGGGTGTGATTTTTATGCTTTATTTTAAAAAAGGACTCCAAACAAGACAGAAACCCTAAAACACGTTTCATAATTGAAACGAACTGTTGCTTTCATTTATTTTAAAAGATTTATAAGATTTTTGGTTTGTTATTCTTAAATGTTATTCTTAAATAGCATTAAGTAGAATTACCAGTGAGATGCCAAGTTTGGCAATTTACGTTTTTCCCCATACCAGTTTATTTGCTTATCAATAATATTTTGCAGGTATTTATCAGCAAACAATCAGCCTTAAAGTTCTATGGTTGAAATAATTATGATTTTGTTAATAAATTCCATTCAATAAACGTCAAGGGTGTGATTTTTATACTTTATTTTAATAAAGGACTCCAAGATTAAAACAATTTAAAAAAAATATGTAATTCACATGTATTGTTCATTTTCAATTAATGTGTATTATCTGTAATACTGTAGTTCATAAAAATACAATAGTTTACTGCATTTCTTGATGATCATATCCCATTTTGGAAATTAATGTTGTTTAATTACACAGACATGCTTGAGGGGCTTCTGACCGCTATATTTTTTATGGGTTTTATGCCTGTGTGAAAATGTCAGTCGTTGCTTGTTTATGAGGATGATGGCTTATGTTTTCCTGTCACTGCAGATTGTGATTTATCCCTTTAAATGCAAATGCCACTCAGTTTTCCTGGTGGCATGAAATGAAAAAAGAAGTTGAGTGGGAAGGTGTCAAAACTGCTTACTGGATGGTTTGTCAGCAGCACATATTCTTTTCATCATGTCAGTTATGTCATGTTAACCTGTTATGCTTTGTGTAAGAGAAAACAATAAAATTTGATCAATTAAGAAAGTAGCTTACAGTAAGAGTAACTTGGAAACAGTAGTAACTTTCTGCATCTTTCTGAAGACAGTAGTCACTTATTGTAACCAAAATCTTTGAAATATGTTTGAAATATGTTATTTAGAGCAGCATTTCTATATTATTATTTATTGTTACGAAAATTTAAGCATTCTATTTGCATAATATCATTTTGGGTGTGGTTTATTATTATAGTTACTGCTTTAAAAAACAGTTTTTATTATTATTACTATTATTATTATTATTATTATTATTATTATTATATCATTATTACAGTGGTATTATGATTAATGAAGTACAGTTATATGTGCACTAAACCGTTTCTTTAATGCTTTCATAAATAAAACAACAAACAAACAAAAATAAGACAAGATGATCTGGATTCCAGAAGTCCCACGTTCTTTATCAGGTCAGATCTGTATTCTTTAGACAGTTAACCATGTTTGAAGCCCCTTGAGCTGATGGGGGTTCTGAGTTCTTAGATCTTATGAGACAAGATTAGTGAAAGTTAGTGTTGTGTCACATGGCATCAGCTTTCATACCTCAGCTCATCTTTTTTGGGTCATTTGATGAAACAGTAGCTTTCCTGCTTTAATGTCTTATGATTATAAAAATTCTGTCTGATAAGTTATGTGTCAGTTAATTGCAAAGAATTTAGGGGAATAATAAAATAATAATTGTCTGCTCAAGGTTGTGAAAAAGAGTGTTGCATCTTAAAAGAGGAATTGCTGCTTAAAAAAGAAATGTTTATATATATAGTTTCTTTTGAATTAATTTATTTATTTATTTATTAATAGTCAGTTATCATGCTTACATAATATATGTTAAGCATTTATTCCCTTCTGACACAAACTTGCACTTTGCTAAGTGCAAGTGCTACAATTAATAGTTTTAGTATACTTTAAAAGTAAATTAAGAGAAAAATGAAAGAGAAAAATTAAGCGAGCATGAAGATAAAATGCTAAATGTTTATTCAATAATTGGTTTTAAACAAAGTTGTCATCAAAAAATTAAAGGAAGTGGAATTTTTTTAATAATTTCAAAGAATTTATCCGGAGCCCCTAAGGAGAGGAAAAGATATCTCAGTATTTTGTTAAAAAATTTTAATTATTGAATATGAAATGAATAAAACCCAAAGTATGGAAACTGTTTATTAACAGATATTTTTACAGTGCACATATTGATACATCAAAAGGGCCTTATTATGATGGATTGTGGCTGGAAGGGCATCCGCTGCATAAAAAATGTGCTGGATAAGTTGGCGGTTCTTTCCGGTGTGGCGACCCCAGATTAATAAAGGGACTAAGCCGAAAAAAAATTAATGAATAAATACTTCTGTATTGTTAAGGAATTAATATGCATCTGTAATGCCGAGTTAAGACTGCATGATTTTAGCCCAGATTTTGACTCGCCGACAAGTTTTGGAAATCACAGACAAATGCCTGAAATCACAGGCAAATCGGTGCTTGTTTATGTGAGTAACAATTACAGTGTAAACTGCTAAAGATGCGATCTGAGAGAATTGCCAGTGAGTCGCCGACGTTCGTGAGATATTTGGCATGCTAAATATCTGGACCTGTCGGCGAATAATACAATGTGAAATGTGTTCTGATTGAAAGTAACATTGGCAATTACCTACAGTCAATGAGAGAGCAGCATCCCCTAGTATTGGTATTTGCAGGCCAGTGGAAGTTTGGGGAGAAGTTAAAAGCACTCGTTTTCAGTTTATTTGGACCCAAGAATGCTGTGAAAAACTAGTGTGAATTTGGCATGTTTGGTCTGTTTGACGTGTCATCTGAGCAATACCACAATCAGGTCAAAAAAGAAAAAAGATGAGGAGAAATTGCCAGGTAAAAAGCCAGGTGAGCAAAATAAGTACATTTTCTACCTTACTAAAGTCTTGTGTCTCATCATGTAGTTAATAACAAAAGTTGTACTACGTGACTTCATGTTGTTTCCATGTCACTTCTCACGTTTTTTGGTTGTCAGACATATTTTTGACAAAGTTGTGGATGATTCTTCCAATTTTAAAGTCATGCAGTGTGAACCACCCGTCGCCGATCCATCTTGCAGTGTAAACACAGCACCAATGGAACGCTTCCCCAGATAGTCATGCAGTGTGAAAGCATCCATGACACAACTTCTTTTAAAAAAATCATGCAAACTGAACTCGGCATAAGGGAACATAATGGACTCTAGGTGCAAATGTGTGCATATTTTATAAACAATAATGTGAGTGTTTTTGTGTCTTGGATAATTAATTTGACACTAAATCTGGCAAACAGATTGTGACAAGTGTCTGTCTTAATGAGTGATTCATTAAATCATTTATTAAAGCTATTCTTTCAAAGCAGCTGATTCATTTTGAACTGATGCAAGAGACTATCTGCATAAATAGAATAATTAATCATCAGCTGATTTGCTCAAAAACAGATTTATCCAGGGCCGAAACACAAAAGTGCTGTTCTAAGATGCAGAAATGTTCTGCTCTGGCTTTGTTGACAAATGGTTCATTTAAAAAAGTGTATAAAATCAATATTACATTAGCAATCGTGGTCATGGGAAAATGATTCATGGGAAATTTGTAACTATTAGATTTTATACATGTAAAAAATAAGAACTCCTACAGGGATCATTTTTCCTTCATAACTTGAATATAGGGTTGTTCTAGCTACATTCTACTAGGCTTCTCCATACAGTCAGTTTTTATGTTTGTTTTTTGTTTGTTTTTTTCTTAGTAAGTGACATACTGGATAATGTCAGCGCGTACATCATTAAAATGTCAATTACCATATTATTATGGAAGATAAATAGCACACCCATAATTCCAATGCTGTTGCATTGCCTTGCAAATCCTTCCCTGGAGAAACTTTGTAAACATTCGCCAAGCTAGTGCACGGTTTCTCAAGGGAACACAAAAGCATAAATTTTCTTCTTATTTCATTCTTTTCCATCATCATCTTCTCCCTTTTTGTAAATTGCAGTATTTATATAGCTTTAAGATTTTAATTGTCAAATATGTTATTTTCTTTACACATATGCACGCAAGTGACACAAATGAGCCTTTTACATGATCTTCTCCTTCAAAAACAAGAATCACGTGTAAATCAGCTGTCTGGTGGGTTTAGAATAGCCAGTTTTGTTCATTGTGTTTGATTCAGGGCTATAATAATCATGTGGCTCATTTGAAACTCGAAGGAAAGCACCAGAACAGTGAGAAAGCGTCCGAGCTGTCTCTCTAAAACCCACTTGAGCCTCCCAGCTGGGCAAATACATCACACGCTTCCAGTGTTTGCTCTCTCCACTTCTGCGTGAGTTATGGCTCAAGCCCCACAGGCACAGGGTGCGATTTGGCCTCTGTGGGCATTAACAGTGTGATGAAGTGCATGCGCTGTGTGCTGAAATTTTCCTATCTCCAATATCTTACCTTCAATATTTGATGCGTTTGAGAGTAGACTATGATATATGATTTCAATTTAGGCCAGTTTTTCCAAAGATTTCGGGTTTATTTACTCCCACAGCGCCATCAGTTAGACTGAAGTGCCACTTTATTGGTGGCAAACCTGAAATATGTTAGTCAGCAGCAAAAAAAAAAAAGAAGTTGTGTAAAGTGTGTGGAACGTCATTCGGTAAAATAGATATGCATATAATAATATATTTACATTCATGAATTTTAGAGCTGCAAAATTTTTTTCACATAAATTTTGTCATTTTATTTTCACAAAAGTTATCAGAAACTGAAATTGAAAATGTTATCTGTTTATATTTAATCTCTTCCCAGCAGGCACAGAACTTCAATATGACATCAGATTGATGTTGTACCCTAACATCCTGGGGACCTAGCATTTTATTTGGAAATTAAATTGGGTTGACGTAAGAACCTAACATTAGGCCAATGTCAATGTCCAATGTCCAAACTAAAATCAACCAAAAATCAACATCTATTGATGTTACAGCTTGACATTGTGTGGACGTTACCACTATAACATTCATCAGACTTTGGTTGCCATACCTGAGGAATAAATGGCAGTATTTGTCATCAATATGATGTTGGTTTAAAATGTTGGCTTGATGTTGGATTTTGGTCACTTCTCAACAGAACCTAAAAACAACCAAATATCAACACCATTTGACGTCATTTTTGGACATCAAAATAATGTTGTTCTTAGATGCTGGCTAGACATTGAATTTTGGTCACCTGACGTCGTGACCTACAGTCAGGTCCATAAATATTTGGACATCAACATAATTCTAACATTTTGTCTCTATACACTAACACAAATAACTAAAATGATTTTGCATTGGCCAAGTCAATCGCCTGAACTGAATCCGATTGAACTTGCTGAAGACAAAACCGAAGGCAAGTCGCCCCAAGAACAAGCGGGAGCTGAAGACAGTTGCTGTAGAGGCTTGGCAGGGCACCACCAGGAATAAAACCCTGTGTTTTGTGATGTCTATGCGCTCCAGAATTCAGGCTGCAATTGACTGCAAAAGATTTAAAACCAAGTATTAAAAAGTGAAAGTTTGATTTATAATTATTATTCTGTGCAGTTATTTTTGGACCCTTAACACGTGGGAGGCACATTCACAAACTTGTAATTCCTACAGCTTTCAACTGATTTGGATGTAAATACCTTCAAATTAAAGCTAACAGTCTGCAGTTAGAGCACATCTTGTTCGTTTCATTTCAAATCCATTGTGTTGGTGTTTAAAGCCAAAAATGTTAGAATTTAATAATTTAATCTGATGCATCACTATTTTTAAGTAAAATTAATTGTTTAAAAAAATATATTTGATTGAATCTATTTAGAGGCTGTTTTGACTATGACTACAGTGATGCTATAAATCATTAAATACCATTGGTTATAAAATCCATATTTCTAACGCTGTATCTCATGAAACATGAAATCCTGTTTACAATCATTTATCTAGAGACTGTATTATCATGACTACAGTGATACTGCAAGTTCTACAGCCATTAAACATTTTATTTTTGGAGATGTGTACAGTCTGTTATCATTCATAACTTTTTAAAATAATGTTTAATTTGTCAGCATATTTGGCAGAGAGATGAGGCAAAGATTCAAACACAGAGCCCAAAGGGCCCAAATTACAAAAAGAAATCAAAATCAAACTCAAACTACCCTAATATATAATGCACAGCTTACAAGAACTACCAACAGGGCAAGGCACACACAGTATGGGTAAAAGTGTATGGTGCAATGTTTGTTGAATGTGATTATCGCAGATTTGCACATTGCAAAATAGATGTTGAAGCTATATATTGTACTGCATTTATTTTAAAACATACTGCATTGCACGTAGTTCACAATGGAACATACTACTTTTATTTCCTAAATACTGTTGTAAAGACTTAACAAAGCAAACCTCAAATTCGTGGTTTAGCCCCCAAGATGCTTAATAGCATGCAATGGTTAATACTTAAGAACTTCAGCTTCATTGGAAAACAGGAACAAAAGGAGGTCAGAAACTTATCATGGCTCATTTTTGCATTTTATATCCCAGAAGCCTGTGTTTCATTTCTAAATGTGCTGATGGTTTAGTCCCACTGCTCTCACTTTAGCACTTCTCCTGACAGAGTATGATTGAGCTCAGGATGTGAGAACCTAAAATACTTGTGTTTGTCCCACAGGAGAGGGACTGCAGTGTCTTGTGTGAACCAATCTCTCGCTGACCACTTGTATACAGATGACCAGTCATGGCCACAGCATCAGACTCAGCGGAAGAGTAAGAGCCTAGATATTTACATCAATAAGTCGATGTTTTATATGATATGAATATGATATTTCATAATCTGCATCTTTTTTTTTTGTCAACAGTTCAGTCGATGAAGTTGTGTCTAAACACACTTCGAGGATAACGCTGTCTATTGTCCTGGTGACCATCATTATAATGACCGCACTTGGTAATTTGCTTGTGATGGTGGCACTCTGTAAAGACAGACAGCTAAGGTAATGATGCTTTTTATGCAGTATACATTATCTTTAAATTTGCTTTGTCAGTGTACATTTTCAAATTACATACACAGTTAGGTCCATAAATATTTGGACATCAACACAATTCTAACATTTTTGGTTTTATACACCAACACAATCGATTTGATATGAAACAAACAACAAGTGCTTTAACTGCAGACTGTCAGCTTTAATTTAAAGGTATTTACATCCAAATCTAGTGAATGGTGTAGGAATTAGATTAGTTTGCACATGTGCCTCCCACTTGTTAGGGTCCAAATGTAATTGGACGATTGGCTTCTAAGCTAAAAATGCTCCTTAAAATGTAAAGATGTTAGAAGAAAATATAATTTCTATTAAAGGCTCTTTATTTTTTAAGTGTTTTTGTGATGTGTTGCCAGATATACATACTTGTTGAGATTAAGTATTGAACTTTAAAAATTTGTTTGATAAATTTAATCAATGCTTTTTTTCTAAATAAATAGTGTTGTTATCATTAATTAAATTAATGTGAAACTGTCTCACAACAGATAATAAATAAAAGTGCTAGTTTATTTTTTGCAAAAAGTATTTAAAGGGAACCTATTACGTCTTTTTTTACAAGATGTAATCTCAGTTCGGATGCCCCTAGTGTAAAAGTGAAATTTAAGCTCAAAATATCCCACACATTTTATTTTTTACAACTCTTTGAAACTACCTCTTTTGGGCTTTGATCCAAATTGTGCAATTTTGGTGTCTTTCACTTTAAATTAAAATAAGATTGTGCTCCCAGTCCTTTTTCAAAAGAACATTATAGCATGATATTGTTGTTCATTAAAAAATACATTAATATTCGGCAGCAAATACAGTTCCAAACAAATCCATAGCAGAACTGTTGTGTGTTTCCAAGCAACACAGCGGAGTTTCATTATTGAATGAATCTACTGCTTTGAGTTAATGATTCTGTGACTCACTCTTTAGAAGATTCACCAACTACTAGTTTCATGTTTTAATTATAAATAATTTTTTTCCATAATCTTTATATATACACGATTTTATTTTTTTTTTTTGTTGCATGTATTGATTAAGTTTAAGACATTTCTCAAAAATCTTTCAGAAAATATAGAAAGATTGATTGCATTGGTTAGAAGAAAAAAAGCTCTTTCACTTATATCATTACATTTAAATTAAAAACATTTTTAACACCATTAATTGTCATGAAATAGCTTCAATGTTGGTATTTTTTACATACAAACACTATTTTTGTTTATGAACACAATTTAAAGTCTGCAATTTAAAGGCTAAACTAGGTTAATTAGGCTAATTACAGGCTAGGTTAATTAGGTAAATCATTGTATAGTGATGGTTTGTTATGTAGACTATGAAAAAATATTAACTTAAAATTAACTAAAACATTTTTTTAATTAAAATAGTAAAAAATATATATATTTAAGCTGCTTTATTGTTGCTGAAATAAAACAAGTTAGACTTTCTCCAGGAGAAAAAAATATTATAGGAAATACTGTGAAAAATTCCTTGATCTGTAAAACATCGTTTGGGAAATATTTGATAAAGAAAAAATCAGGCTAATAATTTTGACTCCAGCTGTTTATACAGGTATTAATGATTGTTTGGTTTATTTACTGTTCCAAATATAGGAAGAAGAAGACCAACTTCTTCATTGTATCGCTGGCATTTGCAGACCTTCTAGTTGCCCTGGTTGTGATGCCACTGGCAGCCATAGAGTTAACCACAGGGAAGTGGAATTATGGAGAGACGTTCTGCCTGGTGCGAACCTCACTGGATGTGCTGCTGACCACTGCGTCCATTCTGCATCTGTGCTGCATTGCTCTGGACAGGTGAGGGCATTCATGAAGCCAGTATAGAAACAAAACATGACTAATGTTGCCCTACACAAATAACTGCTTGTGTTGCCATGGCAATATTGAGAAAAGAAGGCTTAAATTAGAGCATGTTATCTTGCGTTTAATGGTTTCGGGACAGGAGTTCTATTTGCTTGATTGGATGTTTCATTTTTTTCTTTCTAAAAAAGATCAAGGTGAGTAATTTGTTCTGGAGACAATTGAAAATTATATATATATATTGCAAAGGAGCTAATAATAATGACCTTAAAATATATTTATAAAATTTCCAGCCAAACTAAAAGAACTGAGCCTCTCTCCTGAAGAAAAAAATATATATTGTAGGAAATACTTAAAAAATGCCCTTGCTCTGTTATTTATTTGACAAAGAATTTAAATAATACAGAAGGGCTAATAATTTTGCTTTTCTATGTCTGTTATTGAGCGAAGCAGTGGCGCAGTAGGTAGTGCTGTTGCCTCACAGCAAGAAGGTCGCTTGGTTGCTGGTTCGAGCCTCGGCTCAGTTAGCGTTTCTGTGTGGAGTTTGCATTTTCTCCCTGCGTTCTCGTGGGTTTCCTCCGGGTGCTCCGGTTTCCCCCACAGTCCAAAGACATGCGGTACAGGTGAATTGGGTAGGTTAAATTGTCTGTAGTGTATGAGTGTGTGTGTGTGAATGTTTCCCAGAGATGATTGCGGCTGGAAGGGCATCCGCTGCGTAAAAACTTGCTGGATAAGTTGGCGGTTCATTCTGCTGTGGCGACCCCGACAAGAATAAATGTCTGTTATCATTTTCATTCATTCATTTATTTATTCAGTCAGCTTAGACCCTTTCCACATAGCAAAATATCTCTGGCCCAGCTCTGGCCCATACAATCAGATTTTGCTTGGCCCACATGCCACAGTAAATTACAGTACATGACTGGACCAAGTCTGGCTTCCAGACAAGGTCCAAACATGGACCATATCTGGGCCAAGTCTCAGCCAAGTTAATAACCCATAATTGAGCCTAAACTGGGCCAGATATGTTGGAGTCTCACGACTGCAATGAAAATGATAAACCCATGAATCATTGCACTTTAGACGTGCTATGGGTTTGCTTTTTCTCAAAGTGACCTCATTGGTAGATTTTATTTCTTTAATTGAAGATAATATAAATGTATTTTTAATGTGGGTCAAGATAGGCCAAACTTACATGGCCCACATATCAGTTATTAACATCTAGGCCAAATACTGCAATTTACATCTGACCCAAGTATTGTGTGCCGCCTTATAGATGGTGCCCAACCAGGGTCATGTTTGGCCCACATGCTGCATGCCAGTGCCGGATTAAAGCCTTCTTTGCTAACTAGGTTATTTATCAGGAGTCGTCACAATGGAATGAACCGCCAACTATTCCAGCATATGTTTTACACAATGAATGCCCTTCCAGCTGCAACCCAGTTCTGGGAAACACCCATAAACTTTCATTCACTCGCACACTCATACACTATGGCCAGTTTACTTAATCCAAGTTGAGTTGAGTTGACTTAATTTGTACCCTTAGGTTAATTCTTTTTGCAGCATAGTTTGGCATTTGGGCGAGGCAGTGGCGCAGTAGATAGTGGTGTCGCCTCACAGCAAGAAGGTCGCTGGTTCGAACCTTGGCTCAGTTGGTGTTTCTGTGTGGAGTTTGCATGTTCTTCCTGCCTTCGCGTGGGTTTCCTCCGGGTGCTCCAATTTCCCCCACAGTCCAAAGACATGTGGTACAGGTGAATTGGGTAGGCTAAATTGTCTGTAGTGTATAAGTGTGTGAATGTGTGTGTGGATGTTTCCCAGAGATGGGTTGCAGCTGGAAGGGCATCCGCTGCGTAAAATCTTGCTGGATAAGTTGGCGGTTCATTCCACTGTGGTGACCCCAGATTAATAAAGGGACTAAGCTGACAAGAAAATGAATGATACATTTTCCACATATACAGTAAATCCAGAAAGTATTCCTAGCGCTTCACTTTTTTCACATTTTTTCATGTTACAGCCTTATTCCAAAATGGATCAAATTTATTTATACCCTCAAAATTCTACACATAATACCCTATAATGACAATGTAAAAAAAAGTTTTTTGAAATTGTTGCAAATATATTAAAAATAAAAAAATATGAAAAATCACATTCACCGATCACCGATCAGCTGGCCGGCCAGCTCTAGGAAAAGTCTTGGTGGTTCCAATCATCTTCCACTTACAAATGATAGAGGCCACTGTGCTCGTTGTAACTTTCAGAGCAGCAGAAATTTTTCTGTAACCTTCCTCAGCCTTCTGAGGATCCTTTCATCATGACAAAGGCTGTGAATACTTATGTACATGTGATTTTTCAGGTTTTTTGTTTTTAATAAATTTACAACAATTTCAAAAAATCTTTTTTACATTGACGTCATGGGGTATTGTGTGTAGATTTTTTGGGAAATTAATGAATTGAATCCATTTTGGAATAGGACTGTAACATAAAAACAAAAAATTATAAAAAGTGCTATGAATACTTTGCAGATGCACTGTACATACCCACATATACACATACAAAAGTGCATTGTAAAATATTGCAATTTATTCAGAGCGACAATAGATGATGGGACAAAGCTATTCCTGTAACGTTTTGTCTTACTAAAAAGCCTTCGACCCGAACTCCTCAGACATAGAACAAGAGCTAGAGCTAATAATGTTCTGGGCAGTCCGTAAAACCTGCCTACCATACAGGGATTCACCAATTAACCTGCTAAACCACCTAATAACCTGGCTCAGTCTATTCCTGTTTTTAAGGGACATACTTCCAAACCATGCCACCAGAGCAAAGGATAGAATAAACTCAATAAAAGCACAATAAAAAAAATTAAGTAAATTGGGACCAATGTAAATAGTTTCCTGAGACAAATAGTTTCCTGAGACATAATAGTTTCCTGAGACAAAGGCGCTGATGCTCTTGCACACAGCATCACTGTTTGCCTCAAAGTTAAAAAAAAAAGTCTGTAATGGTACCCAAATATTTGTAGTTCTCCACGCATTCTGCTTTTTGACCACTGATATAAGTCACCTCAGCTGTTGTGTGATTCCTTCTTAAATCAATAATCATGTCCTTAGTTTTTTACATTAAGTTTTAGATTTGACTTCTCACACCACTGAACAAAATGATCCACTATGGGACTATTTTCATCTCCTTGAAGGAGGCTTACAATCATAGTGTCGTCTGCATATTTCTAAATAAAATGAATTTGAAATGTGCTCTGACACATGTTTGAGTACAGAATAAATAAAAGTGGGGATAATCCCCAATTCACTTATAGCGCATGTCTTTGGACTGTGGGGGATACCGGAGCACCCAGAGGAAACCTATGCGAACATGAAAACATGCAAGCCCCACACAGAAATGCCAACTGACCTAGCCGGGACTCAAACCAGCGACCTTCTTGGTGTGAGGCTACAGTGCCGCCCTTAATTTTTATTATTATTATTTTTTTAAAACAACATTCAGACTTATTAATAGATGAAAATCGCTAATATCTGGCCTGTATTGATAGGTTAAATTTATATTTCGTCTGCTTATTAAATTCTTTGATTAGACAGATGTTTTACATATAGGACTCAATCACAGAGTGAACTGTACATTCAAAAACGCACGTGCACACACATGCAAAAAAAGAAACACATAGTTTATGCCTTGACACTAACTCCAGGAGCTTGTCAGGTTGTCAGCTAATTATGTGTAATTTGCTGCATTACATATGCAAATTTTCTCATGCTCACCCATTAGGACGACCGCAGCTCTCTTAGCCTGACAGAGAGCAGCTGTGATTTACGTGCTGCACCTGGTCCAATATGGCAATAACATGACTAATTTTTTGTCTCTCTATCTCTCACTTTCTCTCTCTTCTAATCCATCCACTGTGCAACCAAGTTTGTATGATTCCTCATGACTCATTATGTCTTTGGCCTCGCATACGATCGCATACTTTCTGGTTGTACATAACTCACATCACTATAAACAAAAATCTGCCGAATCATCAGGGTATATCAGAGCATAGTACGCAGGGACGCATTGATTACAAATGCACCGTATTGCCTGACACAGTCATTAATCAATCTTGAAATGTTCTCTCTTCATGTCTTGGCCAGGTACTATGCGATTTGCTGTCAGCCTCTGGTGTATAATAACAAGATGACACCTGTGAGAGTCTCGCTGATGCTGGTCGGATGTTGGGTCATCCCGTTTTTCATCTCTTTCCTTCCCATCATGCAGAGCTGGAATACCATTGGAATCGAGAGCTTTGTAAGTGGTTATTGTTGTTTTGCTTTTGTAATTTTTTAAAGCTTTAGTAATTAACTAAATGTTTAACTTGGCTACAATAAAAAAGTGTTTTTGAAAAGAAATCTCTCTTGTACGGTGGCTGAGAGACTTAAGGTGCTTCAATTTAAGAAAACAAGTGCAATTACAGAAAAGACCATCAAATTGAAAAAAGATCTTCACTGTTTGACAGTACACGTGCTGCAAATCCTCACAACGCAAACACATTTTTTAAAAATGCGCTGTATTTTCACAAAGCTCAAACAAATTAATAAAACATGATGCTCTTTCAAATAGCTCGGAACACAATGGAAATGTTTTAAGGGGACCTAAAACATGACAGATTCAGTTATTTAGGTCACGGTTATTCGTTTCGTTTTCGTAAATTGTTTGCATTGTGAGAAAATGCAGCGCTTTTTTTATTTATGTCTGTGCATTGTGAGGATTTGCAGCACATGTACTGTCAATTCGATGAAGATCTTTTCGTAATTTGCTGGTGTTTTAGGTAATTGCATGCGTGTTTTTTTTTTTTTATTGCAGCACGTTAAGCTTTCTCTGTCACCACACTCTAGCCTCACATGCAACTGACAAATTTTGATTTGTGTAGATGTTTTCAAAAAAATTGAATGATTTATTTATGATGTAAAATGGTCTAAATGCAGTTTTTGCCAGTTTTAAGCAATATTAGGAAGAATTATTTTTATTTTTATTTTTTAAGATTTTAGCAATTAAAAATAGTTTGCATGTTTTTTGCACTTGATGTTAAATCACAGGAAGATGCAGGACACTTTTTTCATTAATTCATGGTGATTTAATCTGTTTCTTTTATCCATTTTTGACCACTTTCCTGAATTGTTTGAGTATGTTTACATGCACAATAAATATGTGAATAAATTATTGGAATGAGTTAATGCCATGGTTTACGTCCAAACATTATTAATAAATCTGTTTATTTTCTTAATAGTGACATTACAATGTAATAAATAGCATGTTTTTTCTATTATCTTGATATACTGTAAAAAGTGATAAGTGTTTTACTTCAAGTAAATAAACTCATTGTAACTTACAACTCTAAAGTTGACTTAACTGTCCAACTTAATTTTATTGCACATAGTTCATTTATCTTATAATTTTAAAGCAATGTGTTTACTCATCTTGTTCTTAAGTAATGCAATGTTTTTAAGTCAGCTAATCACTTTTTACAGAGTATGTAGATGACCTTTTACATCATCTAATCTATTGTTTAATTCAACAGATCCCAACATACTGCAAGTTGTAATCTCTTAATGCCCTAATTAGCATTAAAAGTTTTGATTATACGGTAGCATTTTATTTACAAAATAATGTAGAACTGTAATATCAACCATTGATATAAATATTAAGTTGATTATCCGTTTTTGGTGTAGAATGCAATATTAATCATTTTTGTGCACTTTGAATTTTACAGATCGAACAAAGAAAACTGAACTCATCTCGTAACTCCACCTGTGTATTCATGGTGAACCAGCCATATGCTCTGGTGTGTTCAGCTGTGGCTTTCTATGTGCCTCTAGTTTTAATGGTTCTGGCCTATCAGCGGATCTATGTAACCGCCATGGGACACGCTCGGCGAATCGGCTCTCTCCATCGGGCTGGTTCGGCTCCTACTTCCACTTACCCCAACAATGACCAGCACGGTTCCAGTCGCATCAAGAATGAGACCAAAGCAGCTAAGACTCTGGCTGTGATCATGGGCTGCTTCTGCCTGTGCTGGGCTCCCTTCTTTGTCACCAACGTGGTGGATCCTTTCATCAACTACAGCGTGCCCTGGCAGATGTGGACCGCTTGGCTCTGGTTGGGTTACATCAACTCGGGCTTGAATCCGTTCCTGTATGCTTTTCTGAACCGGGCTTTTCGCAGAGCCTTCCTCATGATCCTGTGCTGTGGAGATGAGCGTTATGCCCGGCAGGGGGGCTTTAGCCCAAGCAGACAGTGCTCCGAGTCTGTCAACGGGACCTCCATTTCTCTCAGGTACAGTTAGGCCCTCTTGAACACACTGAGCTTTCAGAAATGAGTTCTGGGAGACAAAAGATCAAAGATAACCTTGTATATGAAAAGCGCATGTAAAGAATGTTGGTGAAGGGCTCTTGATGGAGATTTATGGTTAGAGACGATGCATCATAGAGTTGGTTTTGCTTTTTGCTTCAAGTTATTAAAAGGAGAAAAAATGTGTTGATTAACAGTTGCAGCTATTTGTAGATGCATGGCTGTTTTCCAGTTATTTATGCTTTTGATTTGCATCATGGAATCTCTGCTCCATCAACTTTTAATGCTGAAAGTTTCACTGACGTTTATTAAAGTGACTTTTATCGACATTTTAGTAGTTTGAAACAATATATGTTTCATAGAAGGACCCATAATGCAACAAAAGTAAAAACGAAAAACACCCTGAAACTGTTAAATAACAGATTTAGTTATAGTGTTAATATACATAGATTTTGTTGAAAAACTGTTTAAAAGTTTTTTTCTGGCAAGACTCTAATGCACACTAAGACTGCTCTTATTTGATCAAGACGTTTCAAAATGCAGTTAGTTTTTATTCCAGATTGATATAACATGTTTATAGTATAAAATTTTTAATAATTAGTGCTGGGCAAAACTTAATGGCGATTAATCGCATCCAAAACAAAAGTTTGTTTTGACCTAAAATATGTGTGTATACTGTGTATATTTATTAAATACTGTATTTATTAAATATTATAGATGTATATAATACAAAATATATCAATTTAAATATCTATGTAAAAAAATATTTTGTAAAATTGTGTTTTTATGTATATGTGTTTATATACATATACATAATAAATATATATAATACACAACATATACATTGAGCTCTATTTTAACGATCTAGGTGCAAAGTCTAAAGCGCATGGCGCAAAAGCATTAAGGGTGTGTTTGAATCCACTTTTGCTATTTTAAGGATGGAAAAATACAGTTTTTGCTGTGGTGCATGGTCTAACAGGGTTGTGCTTATTCTCTTAATGAGTTATGGGTGTGTTTTGAGCATAACATGCGTTAAAACTATCAGAGTTCTCATCTCACATTCCCTTTAACAGAACGGGAATATTAAGGCTGCGTTGGTCTGAAAATAGCAACAAATCGCGCCAAACTGGTCTTATGCCTTTTTGCACCCAATGTATGATAGGGCCCATTATGTCTAAACTAACTTTTATTTTAGATGCGATTAGTCGTAATTAATCTTTGCCCATTAATAATGTATAATATATATATATTATACAATATTACAACAGAGGGAATTTAATTCTGTTAAAAAAACATTCTGAAAAGCTGATTTGATGCTAAAAAATAGATAATAATTAAAGACAAATAAATTAATATAGATAAATAAATATAATAAATTCAAACGTTCACAATATATATATATATGCATTTTGTTAAGTTTTAGAAGTTTTAATCATTAAAACATTATAAATGTATTCAGTTTCATTTCTGATCACTTTAATTATTCGTTGCCGAATAAAACTTCATTCAATTAATGTAAAAAATAAAATAAAATACAGACCCAAAATGAATGAATGGCATCATCCATTTTATCATCCATCCAATTTATTTATCCATCATTTATTTATTTATCATCCCATTTATAAAAAAAAAAATACAGTATATATAACAAATTACAATATTAATTAAAGCTGCAAGCAGCGATGATAGGGACCTCGCACCCGGGCTCACCGCCGCCCCGTGGCCTCAGGATGACAGAGAACAGCGAACAATAATAATTTAAGCCGATATATATAAAGAACCTGAGAAAATCACACATTTATGCCAAACTTCCTCCTGTCAGCAGGTGGCGCAAAAACTGTGACTCAAGATTGGCATGTAGATGCCTTCAATAGAGGAATCTTATCAACCATGTGAAGTTTCAGGCAGATCGGACATTGTGTGGTTGAGTTATAAGGACTTCTTGTTCCATGGCGAAGCGTTGAGGTTTGTCATGCCGCCACGGACACGCCCCTCTGCGAAACCTCTAGATCTTCACAATATATCATCACTAGAGCTTTCAGATAACAACCAGCCAAATTTGGTGCTGATATGAAAAAATTTGTGGGAAAAGTTTATTACTCTGTAAATCATGACATTTCCTGTGGCCAGCAGGTGGCGCTATAACTGTATCTGGATATTGGCATGTAAACGTGTTCTGGTCTGGACTCTTATTAAACATGTGAATTTTGAGGCAGATCGGATAATGCATGCCTGAGTTATAAAGACTTCCGGTTTTGTGGCGAATCGTCAAAGTTTGCGGGGCCGCCATGGACACGCCCATCGACAAAAACTATAAAGCTTCGCAATTTAACATCGCCAAGGCCTTTAGATGACAAAACCCAATTTTGGTGTCCATAGGATAAAATCCCTAGGAAGAGTTTGTTAAGATACAAAGCCTGGAAATGGCAAAAATGCCACTTATTTGCAGCAGGAAGTTAAAAATATCCGACTTCCTGTTGGGTTTGAGATATGGCTCCAAGAGACTTTTTCGTATGTTTTGCCATGTTTGAGGTGTGTGCCAATTTTCGTGCATGTGCGTGATTCGTAGATCAAGGGCTCGTCCATTTAATTTTTCTAGGTGGCGCTGTCGAGTCATTTTGCCACGCCCACTTCAATATTGTTATGTGGATGTATTCAGGGGAGGACTTTTATCAACCATATGAAGTTTCAGGCTGATCGGACTTTGTGTGGTTGAGTTATGAGGACTTCCTGTTCCATGGCGAAGCGTTGAGGTTTGTAATGCCGTTACGGACACGCCCCTCTGCGAAAACTCTACATCTTCACAATATATCACCAATACAGCTTTCAGATGACACCACTCAAATTTGGTGCTGATACAAAAAAAATTGTGGGAGGAGTTTGTTACAGTGTAAAACATGTCATTTCCTGTGGCCAGCAGGTGGCGCTATAACTATATCTGGATATCGGCATGTAAACGTGTTCAGGTCAGGACTCTTATCAAACGTGTGAAATTTGAAGCAGATCGGATAATGCTTGTCTGAGTTATAAAGACTTCCTGTTTTGTGGCGAATCGTCAAAGTTTGCGAGGCCGCCACGGACACGCCCATCGACGAAAACTCTAAAGCTTCGCAATTTAACATCGCCAAGGCCTTTAGATGACAAAACCTAAGTCTGGTGTCGATCGGATAAAATCCCTAGGAGGAGTTCGTTAAAATACAACGCCTGGAAATGGCAAAATCTGCACTTTTTCGCTGCAGGAAGTTAAAAATATCCGACTTCCTGTTGGGTTTGAGATATGGCTCCAAGAGACTTTTTCGTATGTTTTGGCATGTTTGAGGTGTGTGCCAATTTTCGTGCATGTGCGTGATTCGTGGATCGGGGGCTCGTCCGTTTAATTTTTCTAGGTGGCGCTGTCGAGTCATTTTGCCACGCCCACTTCCGAAGCCCTTAACAAACGTAAATTTTCGCCACTTCTGAGGCGTGTGCAAAGTTGCGTGAGTTTTCGGGCATGTTTAGCCCCTCTAAATCGCGATTCATTGGAGAGAAGAATAATAATAATTAAAGCTGCAAGCAGCGATGATAGGGACCTCGCACCCGGGCTCACCGCCGCCCGGTGGCCTCAGGATGACAGAGAACAGTGAACAATAACAATTTAAGCCGATATATATAAAAAACCTGAGAAATCCACAGATTTATGCCAAACTTCCTCCTATCAGCAGGTGGCGCTATGACTGTGACAGTATTGTCATGTAGATGTCTCCAGGAGAGGACTTTTATCAACCCTGTGAAGTTTCAGGCAGATCAGACATTGTGTGGTTGAGTTATAAGGACTTCCTTTTTCATGGCGAAGCGTTGAGGTTTGTCATGCCACCACATACACGCCCCTCTCCGAAAACTCTAGATCTTCACAATATATCATCGCTTGAGCTTTCAGATACACAACCAACCAAATTTGGTGCTGATATGAAAACATTTGTGGGATGACTTTATTACTTTGTAAATCATGACATTTTCTGTGGTCAGCAGGTGGCGCTATAACTGTATCTGGATATCGGCATGTAAACTTGTTCTGGTCTGGACTCTTATTAAACATTTGAATTTTGAGGCAGATCGGATAATGCATGCCTGAGTTATAATGACTTCCGGTTTTGTGGCGAATCGTTAAAGTTCGTGAGGCCGCCACGGACACGCCCATCGACAAAACCTCTAAAGCTTCGCAATTTAACATCGCCAAGGCCTTTAGATGACAAAACCCAATTTTGGTGTCGATAGCATAAAATCCCTTGGAGGAGTTCGTTAAGATACAAAGCCTGGAAATGGCAAAAATGCCACTTATTTGCCGCAGGAAGTTTAAAAATATCCGACTTCCTGTTGGGTTTGAGTTATGGCTCCAAGAGACTTTTTCGTATGTTTTGGCATGTTTAAGGTGTGTGCCAATTTTCGTGCATGTGCGTGATTCGTAGATCAGGGGCTCGTCCGTTTATTTTTTATAGGTGGCGCTGTCGAGTCATTTTGCCACGCCCACTTCATTATTGTTATGAGGATGTGTTCAGGAGAGGACTTTTATCCACCATGTGAAGTTTCAGGCAGATCGGACATTGTGTGGTTGAGTTATAAGGACTTCCTGTTCCATGGCGAAGCGTTGAGGTTTGTCATGCCGCCACGGACACGCCCCTCTGCGAAAACTCTAGATCTTCACAATATATCATCGCTAGGGCTTTCAGATAACACAACCCAAATTTGGTGCTGATACAAAAAAAATTGTTGGAGGAGTTTGTTACGATGTAAAACATGTCATTTCCTGTGGCCAGCAGGTGGCGCTATAACTGTATCTGGATATTGGCGTGTAAACGTGTTCAGGTCAGGACTCTTATCAAACGTGTGAATTTTGAGGCAGATCGGATAATGCATGCCTGAGTTATAACGACTTCCTGTTTTGTGGCGAATCGTCAAAGTTTGCGAGGCCGCCACGGACACGCCCATCGACGAAAACTCTAAAGCTTCGCAATTTAACATCGCCAAGGCCTTTAGATGACAAAACCCAATTTTGGTGTCGATCGGATAAAATCCCTAGGAGGAGTTCGTTAAAATACAACGCCTGGAAATGGCAAAAACGCCACTTTTTCGTTGCAGGAAGTCAAAAATATCCAACTTCCTGTTGGGTTTGAGATATGGCTCCAAGAGACTT